TATCAGGTCTTCACAAGAGTTGTGTTTGCTTAGACTCAATTCTTTGCCTTAGAGATCCCTGTGTTTTATTGAAAGCTTCAGGCTTTGGCACAAATATTAACTCTATGGTGGATCTTACAGGTGCCTGGTAACCCCAATATACATCATTATGTAGAAGATGGGGCCATCATAATGATACATATAAAACAGCAGACATAGCATTCGGATATTTCTCTAATGCGTGGTCACACAGCTCAGATCCCCAGAATACTTGATTCTTTCTTTTTTGCAAGAGCCAGCACTTCACAAAAGCCTGGGACATCCCTTCAGAGCATGTCTTCAGACTTGCCGTGGACCCAGAATCCTCTCAGTCGTGTTTGATGGAGTGAAGGTGTTTGCTTGGCTCACCAACCCCCAGAATTGGACACATGTAAACATATTTCCTTAAGTCACCAGGCAAATGGGAGTTTCCCATTTCACGCATGTCTCTCAGTCTGACTGGCTAGTCAGTTCCTGTTCTCTCTATTGAAAGAGAACCTTGACATTTTGCTTCTTTAAGAACTACACTTTGCTTCTCACTAGAACTGCACTTAAACTGCTTTGCATGCTGCCTGGTTAGGAGTTTCCCTTCCACAGTTGTTGCTTGTTCCCCAAGGTCGTTCTCCCAGATGGTTCCTGAAGCAGAGAGCACTGGCAGGACTGTAGGTTATCCTTTCCTTGTCATGCCATTACTGTGTCGTGACTCTTGACATGAACAGGCCCATCACAGATTGTTTTAGTCATGGGTAAGTGTGATCTTATTTGGTTGAAACTGAAGGCAAACCTTGTGCAAATGTCTTAATGCTTTCTGCTCCTTCTAATGCTCCCCTTAGGAGATGGGAGAACCCAAAAATGAATTCCTAATAAGCGAATCCATAGAGGACCCAGAATAGTGCCTTATTTTCAAATAAAGCCAAAAGAAAATGTTCCAAAGTGAAGCACTTTCAGTAGCAAACTTTCTACATTAACATGCCAGTTCCTGTTAGAGGAGGCCTGTGCGCTTTGGGATTTGACGGCCTGTTAAAACCTGTGTTCTCTGGTGTTATTGATAATCAGGAGCATCTCTGAGGAAGCTGACTTGGACAGAGCTGGACTGAGATAAAGAAAGACAGCCTAGCTGGCATCATTCATGTCAACATGTATTAATTTATTGAGCACCTGCTATGGACAAGGCACTAGCTTATCCAAGATGCTAATTATTTATTTATATTTGGAGGTGGTAGGAGAGAGCATTGGTCCAACAGGCAAAAGGTTCTCAACCTGAGTTTTTACAAACTCACTTTATGCACGATCTTGAGCAACTTTACCAGGCCTTAGGTATCTTCATCTACAAAATAAGGGGGATTATTTTTGTATTAAAAAAAAAAGCACAGACGCACAATGCAGTTAAGGAAAACAGAGTCTAGAAAGATAAGCCACCAATATCTTAACTGTTGTTATCTCTCCATGCTTGGGTTTTCTTCTCCTGGCTTCTTTATTTTTGAATTTTTATAAAATGACCGTGTGTGCTATTTAGAACGTTATAATTACTTTTAATGAGTGGACTCTGTGACTCTGAGCCCCTTTTAACTTCAAAGACATCTATGATTTTACGCACAGGACTGGGTACAACAGAACAGGACAGTCAATCCTTGGGTATTCCCAGGCAGAATCTCTTTTGTCTGCCCCTCTGCTCATTTGCATTTCCACCTGGGAGTGGGCAGCAGAGAGAAAGGAGGATACATTTTAGCAGTGCTGGAGATGGTGGCAAAATTTTAACCTGAAAAGGCTTGGGGTTTTTTCCCCAACTAATATTACTAATGACTTTTAACTATACCAATTTTTTTCTCACTTCCCCAGCCATTAGTTAATTGAATATGAGCTTACTGTTATGGTAGAACTGGTTTAAAATAAAATAAAAATAACACCAATAGAAAATGGCATTGTTTTTTGTTTCTGTGTTGTCTTTTTTTTTTTTTTTAGGAAGATTGGCCCTGAGCTAACATCTGCTGCCAATCCTCCTCTTTTTGCTGAGGAAGATTGGCCCTGAGCTAACATCTGTGCCCATCTTCCTCTATTTTATATGTTGGACTCTTGCTACAGCTTGGCTTGATAAGCGTTTCTAGGTCCACACCCAGATCCAAACTGGTGAACTCTGAGCCACCGAAGCAGAGCGTGCGAACTTAACCGCTATACCACCGGGCCAGCCCCTCCATGTTTTTGTCCTATTTTCACATACTATGAGGGTCCACTGACTGGTATCCTCTATAGACCCCTTTCTTCTCCTCTTCTATTCCATCTTTTCCAGCCTGTCTGGTGTCCTGAGCTTTTTCCACCTACCTCTTTGCCCAGATCTGCTAGAGCAGAGGTTGGAAAACCCTGCTGTTGGTTTTTGTTTGGCCCATAAACTCAGAATGGTTGTTTACATTTTAAAATAGTTGGAAAAATCAAAGGAAGAATAATATTTCATGACACATGAAAATTGTGTGAAATTCAAATTTCAGTGTTCATAAAGTTTTAATGGAACAGAGCCACACTTATTTATTTATGTATTATCTATGACAGCTTCTGAGGTACACTGGCTGATTGAAAAGTTGCAAGAGAAACCACATGGCCCTCAAAGCCTGAAATATTTACTGTCTGGTCCTTTAGAGTGCAGGTCCACCAACGCTGTTCTAGAGCCTCCTTTTTCATTGGATGTCTTCAAGCTAAGACCTGTTCAGAAGTGCTAACCCATTTAAGACCCGTTTATCGAGTGCCTACAGCATGCCAGATGCTGTGCTAGACACAGGTATCAAAGACGAGCGTGATGCCTTCCCTGTTAGGAGGAACTCACAGCCTGGAGGGGAGCGTGGACATGTCCACAGGTAAACTACAGCATAGATCTGTGTGCTGGTGCCCAGGCGTGAGTTACAGCTGTGGGAAGTCTGAGCTGGAGCCCTGGCTCTACTTGGGAAAGCAGGAAGAGAGGAGGTCATCATTAGGTAATGGATAACAACCCCTTGATAGCTTAAAGCTGCCTTGTTCTACATTGGTGACTTTTAATTTCAACACTAGAATTGTTCCATTAAAGTTAATTGTTACCTACAAAAAGAGTTATCATAGTAACTCTTATCTTGTTATCAAATAACAATGTTAATAGAAATTTAACATTTCAATTGTACATAAAAATGATTACTCTATTACATGATCAACACTTTAGAATATGTAAATAAAGATTGTAGAGAATGACTTTATCATCATCAAAATATAAAATTTTCTTCTAAGAGTGACTGTTAGTTATCCACTTATGGTCAAAGGGGAATGGATTTTTAGATTAAAATTACAATTTTCATTTGCTTTAAGTTTTATTTTTTTTAATGTTTTTCAGTGTATTTTAAAAGGCTTAACTCTACTGTACTAAGGATGTTTGCTTTTTTTGTGTAAAAAGGAGGTCCTGGGCCCCATTTAAGATCTCCTGAATCACAGTGTTGGGGCTTGGGTAGGAAGAGCAGGGACTTCTGTTTTATTGATTTATTTATTCGCTGAGGAAGATTAGCCCTGAGCTAACACCTTTGCCAGTCTTCCTCTATTTTTTGTATGTGGGACACCACCACAGCATGGGTGGCGAGTGGAGTATGTCTGTGCCTAGGATCTGAACCCATGAACCTGGGCCACCAAAGTGGAGCGCATGGAACTTTAACCACTCGGCCATGGGGCCGAGCCCAGGGACTTCTATTTTTAATAAGTTCCCAGGTGATTTCTTTCTACACTGAAGTCTGGGAACTACTACTCAGGATATATGAATTGAATTTCAGATGCATTTTAAAAGATTATTATTAACTTTACTTTTTTTAACTGTTTTTTCTTTCCTGTCATCTGCTGTCAGCCCCTCAAGTTCTCCACGACAATGTAAAGGAATCCTTCTGACCCCAAACATGCCCTCTCTCCTTCTCTTCCTTTCTTTTATTTGGGGGGAAAAAAATTAGAGCAAAATGTCCAAAAGACCATTTGGAATATATATTTGTATATTTAGAATATATGTTTTGCTGTAATTTTTCATGTGCATATTTATACATGTGTATGTCTAGATTTATATCACAGTTAACATTTGTCCTATTTGTTCTCCTTCTCTCATGTTAACACTGAACTCCTCTTTTGGCTCCTCCCCCGTTCCATTTCCTTTTCCCTCCAGTGGAAAGTTAACATGAATTTTAGTGTATTTGAGCTAAATTTTGAACTATATTTTGATCCTTTAAAGTTGATTTTTTGTGTCCAAATATAGACATATGGTATATGTATGTGTGTGTCCTAATTTCCATAAATGGTATCAGAGTGTACTCTCATTTCTCAGCTTGTGTTTTTCACTCAGTTGTATCTTGAGATAAATGCAAGTTCATTCCTCTAAATGCTGTGTAAATATGCACATGTCATTTATCCCTTTCCCCTGTTGATCAGCACTTAGAGTGGTTTCTTATTTTTTACCATTATAAGCGATGCTGCAGTGAACATCTTTGTAGACATTCTTTTGCACATGTGTGAGTTTTGGCAAGATATATATCTAGCAGCAGAATTGCAGGGATATATGCAGCTTCATTTTTTTTCAGATATTGCCAAATTATTCTCCATAAAGGCTCCATTAGTTTATATGCCTGACATAGTTTTCATTTGGAGCGGTAGATAGATATAGACTCAGAATACTTCATGAGGCACATCTTAGGTCCCAGGCAGTGCTCTGAGTTCCTTGAGTGCATTAAGTGTGGGAGCTGGGACATTAGCATCTAACCTGAAAGGTACGAGATTTAAGCAGAAGTTAGCTAGGCTCCGGAGGTTGGAGTGGAGGCCTAGAATATCAGGGTAGAAAAAGAACCAAGGAACCAAAGAGGAGAATATCTTCATAGGATTACAGACAACTCATGTTGAACCCCCCAGAGAGATCTGACATAGAAACACCCCAGTACCTGTCCTCATTGTCCTCACTGGGACCTTAGCAGGTCCTGCTTATTCTAAAATGTCAAGGCTTCTAACCTTAGCAGCAGCCTCCATAAAATAGCCCTAGCACCCAGAGTCCAAGCAGCTGCAGACAGAATCGTAAAGGCCTCCCTGCAGATGACTGGACTCCAGGCGCTCCTGGCTGCAACAGGTTGCCGTGGCTGTGGGGAGCCACATTTTCTGGCTTGCAAAAATAATAAGGCCCTGCCAACTTCTTTGTGGAAGTCTCTTTTGAGGATGAGTTTGAAATTTCTAAGTGGTATGAGGAATTTCTGAAAGCAAACTGTGCAAAGAGAAGTCTGTCTTTCTGGCTTTGGATCTGCAGAGGCGTCTAAGGCCAGGAACATTCACTGCTCTGTGGCTTCTCAGGGTGGGGGAGGGGGATCTAGCTGTGGGTGCCTGGGGGTTCTCCTGGGTGCAGGCTGAGCACACCTCTCCTTCCCCAACCCTGGTGGCAGGAATATCCTTAAGCCCCTGATTGCCTCTCACCTTTGCTGCCAGCCTCTAAAGGCCAGTTAGTCTCTGCACGCCCTCTCATCTGTTACCACCACTGGAGCGAACCAACACATAACTACTGTGTTTCTTACCTCCTGTGAATGGACGGGAAGTGGAAGCAAGGAAGCTAATGAGAGAAAGAAAAGTCTGAACAAAAACTAGGTTCCTGTATTACCCAGCCAATAACATTATGGTAACTCAATAAAAAATGTTTACCTCCAGTTAAAGTAAGCCAGGACACCAAGGTGTTGTGTTTAGCAGGGGTGGGACTAGGATGAGGCAAGAGAAACACTTGGGCTGCAGAATTTAAGGAGGCAGTGACCTGCAACAAGCCTGAAAATGACAGCCTCTTTAGCACTTCTTTAAATTTTAAAGAGGCGCTTACTCTCAAGATTGTTAAAGGTTATTGCCTCTTTAAATTTTGCACCCAGGAGTCTCTCTTGCGTCACTCTAGTCCTGGCCCTGGCTTGGTCTAAATTCCCATTTTGGGCTTTTCATCAGCATCCAGACCTGACTCCTTTCTCTCATTTCCCTCAGCTGTCGACAGTGATTGACAGAGCTAGAGAATAGATATTGGTTCCGTCTGTCTTTAATTGGCCATCTCAGACTACGTCTAGAAGTTTATAAGAGACATTGGGAAAAGGGGGTTTCAGATACAGAATTTGGGTTTAGAGAGAACTTTTCAGGAATGTGTCTGTTGCAGCTGAGCGTGGATAATTGAAAATTGCCCCTCTCCACCCTTCACATCAGTAATTGAAAGCTGGCTCAGTGTACCACTGTGGTGAAATAGGAACAGGTGGTTTTGATTTGCTTAGGAACTAGAAGAGCAACTTTAGAGACTTGAGCAGCATCTGAGCTCTTTGGGCTTCTTAAGTAGTTTGTCCATGGCTGGCTGGTGAAACAGGTGATTGTGGTGGAGCCATTTAAGTGAATCAGTAATAGAATCAATGAAATTTACATGGCATTTTTGTTTTAAGAAACCAATCCTCCGGTCATGCACGTTATCTCCTTGCCGTGCTCTGTGAGTTTGAACCCCAAAGGTAATTTCCAGCTGAATTGGGCAAGAATAATATTGGCCATGGAGAAGGTCTTGGGATTATCAAGTTATCTTATCACACGTTTAACTTTTTCTTTGGGTTCTCATAATCAGTCCTGCAGAAGACTTTTCCCTCCCTCCTTTGTCTTATGCTCCACTGGGAGTACTAAGAAGCTTAGCCACATCTGAGTGCAAAGTCAACTCGGGAAGAGTAAAAGATGGGAGGGTGCAGGGATTTATATAGTTGGACAACCAAACAAGTTAGGTGGGGTAAGCCCATGAAAAAAGAATTTTCTTTATCCTGACCTATTGTGAAGTAAGCACCTTCTGCTTTCGAGACTGCTAGAGCAGAAACCCACTGCCCAGCCCCTTTCTCCTTCTCTGTGTTTACCCCTGCAAGCCTGGAGCACCTCTGCTTGCTGGCTTTCACTTTGGCCTTTGCTACCAGGCTAAGGCTCTCCAATCTTTGCACTTAGCGGGAGAAAGGCAGACAAGGAGATCACCCAGGAGCTCAGTTAGCCGTTTCAGTGTTAACCTCACTGTGCAGCTAATTTGATTATCACATTTAACTGAAAACACCTGCAGGGTCTGCCAGACAGTACAGCTGGCCTGGTATCATGGGCCTCATATGAACTCTTCTCACTGTCAGACAGGGTTAAGAGGAGGTGTTTTTAAATATATGTTCCTTGTTCAGGCCTTGGATCAAGTACTTTAATCATTTTGATTGCTCCTTGGGACAGAACTAGGATGCACAGAGGACCTGTTTTGTCTTTGGACTCATGTCCCTATAGCCTTAGCATGGTAGTGTTTGTGGAAATTGATCCAATGGTGCTGCATGTCCAGGGAAAATGAGCTTGTTTGATGCAGGCTATGCAGGGCCTGGGTGGAATCCAGAGTTAGGAGGTGAGATACAGAATTCTCTTGGTGCCCAAACCTAGGCTTATATTGCCTCACGTTGTCTTCTCCCCTTTTGAATGACCAAGCCAGCTGTCATCTAGCTCCAGGGCATCTGGATGGAGAAGATCTAATATGGAGCCCCAAGAGTGTGAGCTAGCTGTGGGTAATGGGGCACTTGGAACTACTCAAACTTGAGTTCAGATGGCCATTCCAGTAAGGGAGTGCCTGCCTTTCTGTTGCTTATAAGATGGGCATTGGCCTGATCTATATAAAACTCCTAGGATCCTTTCACTTATTCACTCTTCAAATATTGGGGTGCCTGTTACATCAAGTGCTATTCTAGGCATGAGGAGATAGCAGTGACCAAGACAGATAAAGTCCCTACTCTCCTGGAACTTAAATTTTAATTGAGGAGAGAGGCAGGTAATTGCAAATATTCATTGAGCATCTACTCAGTATTATGTCCTGTGAATACAGCAGTGTATTTTAAAAAAAATATATAAAAATGTGAGCTCAATCTATTATAAAGACAATTTCAGGAGGTATTAAGTGCTCTCAGGGAAGGGTGTGCAGTTAGAATAGTGAGATGAGGCAAAGAGCTGTTATTTCAGGTGGTCGGAGGAGGCAACAGTTAAGTCATTACCTGAATGAAGTGTGAGAGCAAAGCCATATGAAGAGTTAGAGGAAGACTCTTCTAGACAGAGGGAACAGGAAGTGCAGATGCTCTGGGAAAGGAAGGTACTCATCGTGGAAACACACTTGGCTCATTCAAGGAACAGTAAAATCAGTATGGCACAAGCAGAATTTGGAGAGCTAAGCAGGGGCCAGACCAGGTAGGGTTTGGGGGAGCCGTGGGAAGAAGTTTGAATACCATTCTAATTGTAATGGAAAGCCACTGGATGGTTCTGAGTGGGTGAGTGCATGATTTGTTTTTGTTGTTGTTTTCTCCAAGATCGCTCTTTTGCTCTCTGGAGAATGAGCTGAATGGGGTCAAGAGTGGAGTCAAGGAGATCAATTGGGAGACTACTGCAGTAGTCCAGATGAAAGATATCGGAGGCCTGGACTGGGATGGTAGTGGTGAAAGTGGTTAGAAGTGGTCAAATTTGGGATATACTTTGAAAACAGGGCCAACAGGATTAACTGATGGGCTGGATGTTGTATGCAATACGAATCAAGGAGGACTCCTGGGGTTCTGGCCTTCTTTTTTTGGTGAGGAAGATTGGACGTGAGCTAACATCTGTTGCCAATCTTCCCGCATTTTTTTTTCTTCCCCAAAGCCCCAGTACACAGTTGTATATTCTAGTTGTAAGTCCTAGTTCTGCTATGTGGGATGCTGCCACAGCATGGCTTGATGAGTACTTTGTAGGTCCATACCCAAGATCTGAACCCACTAACCTTGGGCACTGAAGCGGAGAGCACAAACTTAACCACTGCGCCACTGGGCCAACCCCAGGTTCTAGCCTTCTATGGGGCAGAAAGGAGGTCTAGTTTTGTTGTATTCATGTGGTGGAGTGGTCAGGTGTCAGGAGTGAAGATATCAAGAGTTCTATTGAGAGCTCTCAGCATATAGATAATTTTTTTTCATATGTATCAATGTGAGATTAATGGGATCACTGAGGACAGGTCTGTGAGTAGAGGAGAGGTCCCAGGACAGAGTCCTGGGCACTGCAACATCTAGAAATGGGGAGAGAATGATCTAGCAATGAAGACTGGAAGGAGCAGCCCCTGATCATAAAGAAGCCCCTGGCTGTGTCCTAGTTAGAACTCATGCCTTACAGGATGAACCAAAACCGAACCTTGGGAGACTAAACTTACCATTTGGGGAATAAATTACTTGGTTTATTTAAGGTAATGACCGTGTAATTGGTTTTCCATGGGTATACTTAGAAAACTGTTTAAGAGTGGAAGCCTTGGACTCAGACAGACCTGAGTTCAAATTCCAGTTACACCACTTACCAGCTGGGGGCCGTCCTGTAAAGTTTCTGACATCAGGTCCTCTGTGTCCTCATTTATAAAACAGGGAGAATAGTAGGGCCTACCTCAGAGTGATGTTGTGAAGATTAAGTGAGTTGATGCATGGAAAGTGCATGTCACAGTTTCTGGCTTGGAGTAAAGGCTTAAAAATGGCAGCTTTTACCTCACTAACTCTTTCTCAGGGTCTTTTGCTGGGAATGTTGAATACTTGTAGAATACTGCATTTTCTACTTTGCATTATTTGGTCTTCCTTTGCTATTTATAACTGCTCTTTGGTATCTGTTGCTGGCTGTCAGCTTGGTGATAATGCCCCAGTTGCTTCAGCCTTAACACTTGCCCCAGTCCCCGAGTCAAGAATTGTATCACCCTGGAAGTGTTAGGAGAAATTCCTTCAGGGTGAATGAACTGGGTATTCTTTCTGGTCTGTTGCAAGACTATGGAGCTGTGTTGACTGTTCCCATCCAGGGAGAAAAGTTTCCATCACTATTTGTCTCTGCTCAGAAGTCAAGTGGAATAAGAATTTATGCTCAAGGATTTATGAACAACATAAAGAGTTGAATAGTAAAATCACTTTGCATTTGTTGAAGACCTACCATGTGTCAGATGCTTTCAATATCCAGTATCTACTATCATTGCAAAAATCCCAAAAAGCGGATATTGGGGATTTTTAGTTTACAGAGGAGAACATTGAGATCCAAAGAGTTGTGTAACCTGCCCAAAATCACACTGCTACCAAATTTCAGTGTCAGGAGATTCAAATCCTTAGCCC